ATTACTCGTCGATCAGCGTAGCAGAATTTATAATTGAAATGAGGTTAGTAAATTTGCAGAAAATTCATAACCTCCTAAACATTATGGACCGCACTTCCCTAAAGGGGTTACGAACGCTGTCAATCAGGTTTTTTCTGGTGACATATCACTTAGAACTGAGCTTCAGGGAAAACGCTCCGCAGGCGCGTGCTTCAGTGGAAAGTTACGCTTGATTAATGAGCCGAAACTAGGTGTAAAGGTGACACCAGAAAATTCCCCTCTATTAAAGTTTGAAACACCGCAACGAAATGGCCCATATGTCATAACAGATCACGGTTCAGAAACAAAGAAATAAGTCGAGAGATGTAACTCTGTACTAAAAAGTATTGTAGCGAAAATATAGCAAATCGCACGGTAGAATATAGACGTGTTTCATGCGCTTAATTCTGTGCTTGATAAGATCTTCTTATAAGCAGACCGGCAGATCTACGTCAGCGTTTTCCAACAGAATATGTCAGTAAAAAATACCCTAGACCATAATGGCGCATTAAAGTAAACACGATATACAGAATTAGACAGTGTTGGGTGCATAGTATCTTTATTTCACTGTACAACATATTAACCAAACAAATTCATCAGTTCTGACACGAAGTTTCATACTGAACATCCTAAGTGGTCTTATGCTGACAGAAGTATGTAAATATATAAATATGCAAATTTTCGAAAAGTCATTTATCATTACACGCAGTCACAACGCTGTGACAAATTTTCCTGATGATGGCTCCTTGCCGGAAGCTGAAACGTCGGAATAAAATACATATCTTACGTCGCGTTTAAAGCCATTCTTTTAACGACGAATCCGTTGAAATCTTGGATAATCGCACACGTAGTCTTCGTCTCTGTTGCGCTTTCAATTCCTCATAGAATTGCTCAATCTGATTATTTTCACTTTGTTTGGTTTTGCTGTAAGCTTGGACCATTTTAATTGTTCTTCTCTAGAAGTACGCATCTGTAGAAGAATTGCTATATAAGGCGATATAGTATTACAATTCAGAACAAATCGTACAGCCTTCTTTTTCATTACGAAACCAGTGACACCGGTGTGAGCTCAGTTCTCAAAGGTCTTCCTGAGGAACACTAGGTCTCCACTACTTCACTGCGAACAAGTTCGGCAGATGTGAAGGTCTCGTATATTCCAATGACTTCCGTCTTGATGTTATCCCTTTCCGTGATATAGACGTCTGTAAATGCGTCTGTCGATATCGTTCTTGCACTATGGCTAGCCACAAAAATCTTGACAACGTTTCAGGCTAATTTAGCAATCACCATTTTTGCTGTGGTTTACTGACTCGCATACGCTGCTCAGACCGACGCGGTAGGCTACACCTTCTATCCAAAATCGTTCGTTCGCTTCTAAAAAATCCGCAACCTATCCGAGGCATCTGGTCAGATTCTACCAGAGAATATTAAATATTATCGTTTTTCTTCCCATTTAATTCATTTATTCTGTACTTGCTGTTGTGATACACATGTGAGTAATGTACAACAAGATACTTTGTTTAAAAAAGTATTTATTCCTGAGAATCTACTTAATTCATTCTTCATCATCGTCTTTAGTAACCATAGCAGAACTGAAAGATTCTGAAAATTTATATACCTGTTAACTTCACATTTTTGCATTTTCAGACAACATGTTAACTGCGTCAACTAAGAAGGATTATCATCGACAAGAGGTGTCTGTTCAGATTCTTCAGCGAAACGCCTTGCGTAGCATCCAGTGGATTGTCATGTAATTCAAGCAAAAACGTTCAAAAGTAAAATCGCTGAAAATATATTAGAAGATTTTCAGGAAACAAGGTCGCAGGACATAAAAAGTACCAAAATTTAACGTACAGTTTATGTATCTTAAATGAAAAAGTCATCATCTATGACATTTACGCCGTCATAATTCTTATGACTGGAATCAGGTTACTTTCACGTCATCGTCGTCACTCGTAACAGTCAAGAAAAATGATGCTTGCCATCGAAATGACCTGAAATAGTAGTCTACTTCTGAACAAATAAGCAGTGTCAACGTTGCATCTACTTAGAAAGTGGAACGCACATGAATTGGCCTTCGTTTCGGAAGTCAACGAACAATGCGAACTGACTCTGATTAATTATGCATTTGGCCAGGAGACCTCGCAAAATAAAGGTGCGGAACATAAGTGTCAAGAAATACTTCATGCGGAGGAGCCTACAAATGCGGCGGACATAAACACATTGTTCAGACAACGAAAACGAAGATGAAAACTGCCAAATAAGTCTATTGTTACTGTATTCCTATATGCTATTGAACTTGCAATTCCATGACTGATATACTAAAGATTTTTAGCATTACTAAAATGAATTTACTAAACTGTTTTGTTCACTCATTTTACTTTTTTTCGAATTTCTTAGCTTAATCTGCTCTTCCCTACTTTTAACTCTTCACTCTTCGTTTACTTGATCTAGCATGGTTCTTTCAATAAAGATCTATTGCAAGGTCAATTTTTCCATAGTCTATGTTTTTCGTATGGCCATCATTTCTTTGATTTTCTCATTCTTCCAATCTCCTGGTAATATCGATGTTTGATCCACGATGTCGACTTTGCCGTAAGATATTCCTCTAACATGGCCGAAGCAACGCAACCAAGTTTCGGCGAACTGTTACACACTGCAACGGGAAAAACTGGAAGGTATTTCAGCTTTAACATTTCCTCTAAAACCATTCATTCAATTTTTATCTAAGGTTTAGCGCTTCTATCTGGCAGATCAAGACGCACTGTAGCCATAAAGCCATGTATAAGACAATATGGCCTAAGTCCCGCAGACTGTGGCATGACGACAATAAAGCACTACGCTTTCCCAATTATTTACGGGTCAACAAAGTGCTAGTCGTTTCTTCCCTAGTTACACCGAGACGTGGTTGGATGAATTTTTTGTTCATCGGAGTTAGTTGTTGGTACATTCACATTTTTATGCAGATCAGATCTTGTTTGTATTTTTTTTTCAATGAGGCCTAATTCCTTTTTACTCAAGTCAGCGCAGCATTACCGTTCAAAATATCGTTCTACTCACTTTTCGCTGTAGCTTCGTTCTTGAACGCTTAAGAATCTATTATCTGATGGAGAAGGCAATAAATTATTTTACTG